GTATATATTTGAATTCCCTTTGTATAATCTGATTTAGAGAATCATTAAAGTGCTAATGAGATCTGGAAATGCCCAGCATGAAAGGAAAGTAAAATCATTTTATATCTATCTATATATGTTTCTAGAATTTTCGTTCTTTAGTTATGAGTATATATAAGAAGTAAGATAGAGCCGAATGATCTTCCTGGCCTAATTTCAACTTCAGACTTTGACAAGAATTAGTTCCAGCTCTGATAATGCTCATCATAAAATGGATGAAAGCCAAGCTCCGTTTCACTCGAAGCAACAGGAACATCGTAGCAAAGCCAAAGAGCTGCGGAACAACGGGAATAGGTTGTCGTCTTCGGGTAAAATCAACCAAAGAATCTAATCATGCACTTAGATAAAAAATGAAAGTCTCCCCAACAATACTATCTTATGAGAGTGAACGAAATCCAGTTACCCTTTGTATCTACAAATTAAATTTATGTTTAAGACAAGCCTAGTCTTTCCCAATATAAAAAGAACAATGAATTAGACTTTGAAAGTCTACACAAAGAAGCGGAAACAAGGCTAATTCTCAAAGGCAGCATAAATTTATACTTTAGCTTCCCTTTGTAAAAGCATATTATAAGCATATCATAATAACAGATATAACAATACACTTTCGGAGTGTACTTAAGCAGATGTTGATAGATTGTCTTCCTATCGACAATCTGACCAGAAGAGGGCAATTTAACGGGGTTCTCCATTAGATGGCCCATGATTGGGTCAATAAATGCTTCGGGGGCATCGTCCAGGTCCGCCTCTTCTTCCTCCTCGCGAAGCTGTTTAGCTTCCTCCTGAACAACAGAATGAAAAAATGAGCAGAGACAAATAAGTAAGTTATGATCTACCTCGTAGACATATGGCACTGACATGAATAAGATAAATGGTTTTATAGACCGGAAGATGAACAAAGCTATGCCAAGCGAAAAATACGCCGAAATCAAATGCTGCTTAAAAACACAAAGGGAAAACATGGCATTGATTCTAAGTGGGTCCTGGCCGTCCCTTTCTGCTCGTCTGTGGACACAGAAGACATAACCCTAGTTCCGAGGCTACGTTAGCGCGGTGGTTCAAGTGAATTTGCCAAATTTCAAGTGCAGAAGTGAAGAGCGAAGAAGCGACTTACAGACAAGTGGGAAATTTTATAAAATGTGCTGAATGACCGTCATTCGAGCATCGGGGCTTTCAGCTGGTGATCAGTTGAGGAAGTGAGACGTGGAGTTCGGGCAGGGCGTGATAGATATAAGTTGATGAGAGAAAGGGGGAAGTGTAAGGAAGGAGAGCCAAAATTATTCTTGATATATATTTTGTCAAGTTTGGCCTTTAATTAGAGTCGGTCAGGTGACTATGCCCGATGTGAGAGATCCGAGTCCAATGGATGCAAAGATAGGCTCAAATGCAACCGGCGGTGAGACCATGATGATCACTTTGTAGTGCTAATGAAACTAGAGATTGAAGAGTTCAGTTTTAGCAGCCCTTGTGAAAGGGTATTCCTAAGCTTGTCGATATTCCCGTTTATGCAAGCCTAATGTTATTATTTGATGGAGCAAAGTCTTAAGGCTTTTTCACGGAATTCAATTATGTATAGTTTGCCATTTTAAGCTTAAAACGGTTATATTTTGCCTTTGAAAATACCTTCTGGGAGACTAGGCTGCGTGAAGTGCAATAGAAATTTAAAGTCAACTCATATCATTGTATGAAAATTCAACTACCAGTCCTTAATCTCTTTAACAAAATAGAGCAAATAAATCTTATATACATTCTGCTAGTTTGTGCGTTGCTCCGAATTTTTTGTTTCAATATCAGTCTCTGATGAGTCCTTCCTACAAATAGCTTTGGTTATCTCTAGGCCAGCAAGTATTCTTTAGCCAATTTACACAAGTGAGTTCATGGCTAATTAGTTAGGAATGTTCAGCGATGCTAAATTGATCCCTAATATCTAGTATTAGTTTTCACCCAAAGAGTTGCTCCGTCCCGAGAATACAGTCAATCTTCTCCATACAACTGATTTCTGTCCCTAAATGTCGCCTTTAGATGATCCGTTTGTAGAATAAATATACATTCCATTTAAATCGAAGGCCAAGATTTTACTGTACCCATTTTCGTTTCAGTCTTTTTAGCAGTATAAAATTGGCCTGACCCCGTTTTACTAAGTTAGTCTTGTCATGGCAACCCCGAATAACGTACTTCGTCCGATGTCCTCCGCCATAGTAGTCAGGATAATATCAGGCGTCGGACCACCGGCGTCATCATGAGCCTTTACAATCCTAGCACCATGATACAGATCACCAAAGAGATAATTGGAGCCAAATTCTTGATCAAAAATTTTCTGAATAGTTGTGGCAATAGTTTGGCTAAAAGGGCCAGGTAGGATAAAAAATTCCGGCGCACTGAGGAAAACCACAGAAGAGTGTGATTACACCTCCCGAATTCTCTCAAAAATTTTCTTGAGTAGACCAAGTAAACCAGATAAAAAGTTGTCATAGTGAAGTGAGATACGAGGTAGTAGAGAAAATGAATTAAACAGGAGAAAATAGATGTCAATGCTTCAGCACTTCACCTACCTGGTCTCTTTGACTAGCTAGGGTATAATGCTAAAAATGGAAAGGCTCGCTAACGATGCCAACTAATATGTCGGATAAAAGTCTGTGAAGGTATGTAGTCCACAAGTCACGAAAATATTTGATGATGTGAGGGATAAATAAAAATGCAGAATGGAGTGTCAAAAAATGAGTGAAATCGACGTAATGAGAAAGAGATGGTTTAAGTGAGAGAAAAGCCCAACTTCCCTTCAGAAGCATACAGAAGAGCGTGCCTTTAATAAATAGAAACATCAAAGGTAGCAAAATGGCATAAATGCATTTGTAAGTCTGAAGATGAGAAAGAAGAAAATAGAACAAAAAACACCAAAAAAAGAAAAAATAATGACCAAGATTAGCCTTATTTTTGCATAAGATATCCCAACATAAAAGCAACGGTTTTAGAAGCCTTGATTTCGCAGTTAAATTCATTGAAATGTACTACTCAAAAGACCGTTATCATAGTTCATCAGTACGGTAAATGTAATCTGCTAGACTCATACCAGCATATCCACTGTTTGAATGCTGCTGATGATATGATGAAATAATTGGGGCGAGACGAAAACGAAGATCCAATCGTCGCAAGGATAATGTGTGTAGGCTGTATGGCATAATGAATTTCAAGCAAAAGTCAAGTCTGCATCAGTAATACAATCAGTCGTAGTAGCTACTAGTGTCAATTCCTTTATCGTTATAATACAAGAGAAAAAATCGTGTTAAACTTACCAGAATCATAAACAGCCCAAGATGTAAATTCGCCTTAAATTAATAGTTGAAACCAAGCCTAGCCCGTACGAGATTTTTCGACAAATCTAAGATGTTTTAATCAAGCTTCAATCTAAATATAATTGATTTGATCTAATTTTCTCAATTTGTCCGGTGCCCTACGTGCTATGATAAAGTAGTCATCATAAATTACAGCATCAGAATGATGACGTGGCACATGCCCAGACGATATGCAGGCACCTTCAATTTAGAGCTTTATACGTACCACCAGACAGCATCGGGTCAGAGAAAAGGGAAGGTAGTCCTCTTGATCAATTTTCAATTCAACTGTCGTGGCATCTCGCTTACCCTCCTGACCTAGAGCGTAGCCTTGGGTCCCTATCAGTCAATCCAACTTTATATTGCCACTTTACCTGTATATACCTGGCTGTAGCTTCATTTGCTCAAATATCTTCCAAGATTGTATCACTGTGTAAATGGATTTAGTGTGGCATAATCAACTTCATAACCAGTTTCTTAGAC